AATATTGGGCGAAGAAAAGCCAATTGCATGCAACTACATGCGGGAGCCACTGTCAAAGCTACTAAGTCTAATAAAAAAGACCAGGCTAGACGACATACTCTAAAACAAACGGAGTCCCACAATAGATCTGAAAAGGTCGCGGTGGACAAGGACAAATAACGTCCAACTCCTAATCCAATCTAATCTAATCTAATCTAAGTTGTTACATATTTTCATATATCAGTCGCCTCGTATAATATTTTGGCAGCTTATAATTATTAATAATGAAATAAAAAGATGCTCATTAAATTCTATATGCGTTTTTACCTAAACTTTAATGAATTAAAGATAAAATAAAAATGTATAAAAATGGTGCAAAATTAAACCAATCTACATCTAGTTTCCTGGTTTTCATTTGTTTATTTGAAGTTTTATCACTTTTGAGAACTGTCAGTTTCAGTTCGTCCTAAATTTAACACATTATCATGATGTCTGAGTCAGAAAGCGATTGTACTCCCCAGAAATTATTTTTAAAGCTGAAGATTTATTACCGGCCAAATCAAAAAAGAGATATGAAGAAATTTATATCAAATTTTTGGACTGGAGAGAAAAAAATAAAGTGAAATAATTTTCGGAAACTGTACTACTAGCATACTTTGGAGAAATATGTTCAAATTTTAAACCGTCGACGTTATGGTCCATTTATTCGATGCTAAGAACTACACTCTCTGTTAAAAATGATGTCGATATTAGTAAATATCCAAAGTTACGTTCGCTTTTGAAAAGAAAATCTGATGGTTTTATAGGCCAAAAATCCAAAATTTTTTCGCCTGAAGACATAAAGACTTTCATAAAGAATGCACCTGACTATAAATATTTAATAACAAAGGTAACAGAAATATTATTTTTATTTTAACAAATACTTAATACATAACTACTAATATTTGTAGGTAGCATTAGTTTTTGGATTATCTGGCGCTTGTCGTTGCCACGAACTAAAAGATTTAACAATAAGCGATGTAAAGGATACTGGAAGTATTCTGTTAGTTAAAATCCGTAATACAAAAACAAAAGTTCCGCGTTCTTTTCATATTTCTGGACCCTTTTATGATATTTCTAAAAAATATATGAGCCTACGTCCCGCAAACATGGATCAAATTAATTCAAGATTCTTTATTAAGTATCAGAATGGAAAGTGTAGCAGACAGGTTGTTGGAATTAATAAAATTAGTAAATTTCCTAACGAAATTGCTCAGTTTTTAACGCTTCCGAATCCTCAAGATTACACTGGGCACTGTTTCCGCAGAACATCCGCAACGCTATTAGTGGATGCAGGAGGTGACTTGCTTCTGTTAAAAAAGCACGGTGTTTGGAAATCCAGTAGTGTTGCGGAAGGATATGTTGATGAATCCACGAACAGTAAAAACCAAATACAAACCAAAATTTTACAATCTGTACAAAATAAGGAAACTACTAGTTCATCCGATTATGGCGCATCATCATCTGAAATGACATTTAACAGTAGAACCAATATGTCGGCATCTACCTCAATAAATAAAAAGCTTGAGTGTGATACCCCCATAATTTTGAACAATTGTTCAAATATAACAATAAATCAATATTTAAATAATAAATAATATTTCTGAAATATTTAATTGTTGGTTATTTTTTTGTTATTCCTAACACAAAATAAAGCATTTGCTAACGTTTGTTTTTTTTTTTTCATTTTAGTAGGTAGGTACCTACATGACATAATAGAGTTCGTAGAAAAAGTATAGTGTTTTACTCGTCGAAAATCATTTTTTGAAGCTTGCGAACATTACCAACCTCGGCTTCGACTCGGTTGGTAAATTGTTCTCTCGCTTCAAAAAATGTTATTTTCGTCACTCGTGAAACAATATACTATATTCCTAATGCCTTATTAATATTTCGTTAACGTTAAGGTATGTCTCTACATATAATGAAAAGTGTAATTTTGTAAGTATCGATTGTCCCAAATATTTATAAACACTGTATATATCAGGTGTAACATGTTTTACTTTAGTTTAGGAAAAAACACTGTTTAATAGTAATGATTATATTAGTAAAAATGGTTTAATTTGAATGTGTAAAAAAACGAATAACTTTACTCATTAGAGTTCATAAAAATATTGAGCTAGGACGAAAAATATGTACTGATTTTTAGATAAATTTTTAAAAACTGTACTATTGTTATTTACGTTTTTTCATTGGTTTTAAAATAATATATATTAAAAGATAATTCTAACAGTCAAATAAGGCAACACAATTTACAATGTCTTAATATGGCATGTTGCACTCCTGTTTTATTTTTGTTTTTGTATTAACCCTAGAACGATATCGTTTAATTTCTACCGCTTGTTGGTATCGACACGTAAAATTTACGCATTCGCAAATTTTTACTTGTATACTTTGTAAAATTACCTGTTTCATTATTTTTTTTTATCTGAACATAAAATAGTGTTTTTAACATATTTTAATAACAAAACAATATTTTAAAATAAAAAATTACAGTAACTGAATATAAAAATAAGGAAAACATTTTTTACATTTGATTTTTTTGAAACACGTGCATATTTTTATTTGGTATTCCCCATATCAGTATATGGCCACTCCTTTTCTTCAAAAGATCGATGGAAGTTTATGCTCTTCCAATTTTGAAACGATGTACTACCCCATATTATTACTACACGTAATTTAGCTTCACTTGAAAATATATTTTTTACTGAAACCCAAATCAAAAGTAATTTACTAGGTATTAAAGATAACTCATCCCCTGGCCTTGACGGCTTAACACCTTATTTCTTAAAAAAATGCGCAGGCGTTTTGTCATATCCTCTTTCTATAATATGGAATACATCCTTTACTCTAGGTTCTCTTCCCTCCTCCTGGAAATCTGCATCTGTTACTCCGATCTTTAAAAAGGCAATAAATTTGATCCCAATAACTACCGCCCGATCAGCCTCCTACCAATTATTTGCAAGGTTATGGAATCAATTGTTGCCGAAAAAATTTCCTCCGTTTTAATCCATGAAAATGTTATACCTCACCAACAACATGGCTTCATTAAAGGAAAATCGACTCTTACCAACCTCCTCCATTGTATTAATAATTGGACGAAATCCAATGACGATAAAAAGCCTATCGATGTCATTTAGGCTTTTGACAGAGTTCCAAAACGTCGACTACTTCATAAACCGGAACATCTAGGCATCCGCGGTAACCTTCATAATTGGATCTTAAATTTTCTAACCGACAGATCTTTTAAAGTAAGAGTTGGTAGCGAGTTCTCCTTAGAAAGACCAGTCTTAAGTGGGGTTCCACAAGGCTCGGTTCTCGGTCCTTTGTTGTTTACTTCTTACGTAAGCCGATGATACAAAAATATTTGCTAACCCTCTTCACGACCATCAGGCACTTCAAAATGACCTTAACAACCTCCATTTATGGTGCTGCTATCCTAGAATACGCAGGAACCGTGTGGTATCCAGACCTTGTACGCGACCAACGTCGCGCCACCCGGCTTACCTATGGCCGCATTAGACCATCATACGAGGAAAGGTTAGAACATTTCAACATTTCAACAGAGACGTCTCCGCGGTGACCAAATTCTGTCGTTTCTAATAATAAAAGATAACTTTGGCGACCTTAATCAAGCTTTTCCTCTAAATACTGACTCCCGACTTCGTGAACATTCGCTAACAGAATCTTCGAAGTCAGAAACAACTTGCCCCAAGAAATTATAGATTCCCAAAGTGTCAATATTTACAAAAAACAATATAGACAAGCATATTTTTTACAATTCATAATAATGATATATTTTTGGATTTATCACCTGTACTTTTTGGCAATTAGTATTGCCTACCTATTAGGAACCATTGCAGTTCTAAAAGGCATACCTGCGCACAATTTCTAAATGTTAAAGTCAGTAGCGACTTGAATTCGAACGTGAAAACAATAGATTAATTAATATTCTTTCGATATTTCTTTGCCGATTTCGAGTGTTAATAATAACCACCTTCCTCTCTATACCTTCTATTTTCCCTCCGTAGGTGGTGAAACCCTAATATTTAAGAACGAACCAGCATCTATCGGTAAGTTTTTTATCATTCATTTCGGTTGTGTACATTTTTTATACGACATTTCTTTGTGGTCCTTCGAGCCATCTTACTGGAAGAATTTTTGGAAGATGAGCTTCTTGAATTCGGCGTCTTCGTCGTTCATTGGTATTTGCGCCCATCCCTCGAACCTCGAGTTGCTGTCCAACTCGTATTTTGGCGATACTCTAAGATACTGATCGTACAAGATTTTACCACCGACGATACCGATACCGACGACTGTTAAAGCTGTCAACAGGAGGCAAAGAGTGGTTACTGTAGTAATCCGGTGGGTACCTCCTGCAGGGAAGACGAGGATTCGGGGCATACGACGTTGACCTTCAACATGAACAATATTCGAACTTACATTTACATGTAGCTCATTATCGAATTTAATTTTGGATATATACTTGTATTTAGTCTTTAGATTTATTTTAAAATCATTTCTTGATTTAATAGTTTTTAGGTTAATTAATTTGCTCTTTTTTTACTGGGCACAATGGGACACCATCCTTTGCCCCTATTGTAATAATAATAATACCGACCAAAAGTTTATTATCTATTGTCATAACAATAACTCATAGATATTATTTTAAAGTTTAATTATTTCATTTTAGGTTTTAAACAATTCAAAACCATTTACGAATAATGTAATTTTTTTGCAAAAAAAAAAGTTTTTCATATTATGTCGTCAACTTAAATAGACACTCTGTATAAACACATATTGTATATTTTAACATTAATACTACTCATATTTTCTAATTAGTTTTAATACGCACTCCCTAGATACTAGTCAGTAAAAGCAATAATATGTCACAGTGTATACGGTCTGCGTTTAGTAACGAGAAAGAAAGCACCACATATGGCATTTAATATGTGTAAACGAAAGAGAAAATAGAAGATAATTACCGTTCCTTCCTGAGCTCGCCATTTCGTTTCCGGAAGTTGGCGACGAGCATTTGGAGCTCTTCCGCGTGATGCTCATACATTTGACCCAGCTGCTGTGTGAAATCCGATACTGAAACAAAGAGAAAAATTACTATTTATTATGGGAATTTCAACTTTTTTAAAGGATATTTGTCTACCAAAAATAATACAGTTCGTATACATTCGTAAAATTAAAGTAGAGTTGTTAGTGTGTTTTACATTAAATATGGAACCAAGTAATTATTTTTAAAACAGAGACGACGAAATTAATGACTCTTTAAAGGTTGTTATAATGACGCATATTGTGTTTAATACGAATTTTTTTGTTGGAACAATCGTAATTAGAAGATTTATACTCGGCGAAAATTGGCTAACACCGGCCGATATAAGAGAATCACCTCTTGGCAACGTTGTCAACTACATTAAACTTGTAGACTGACTCACGAGCTAGTAGGTGCCTATCTACTTAGGAGGATTCACAATGGGACTAGTGAGGCCTAAGTGCCGTGGGTTAACTCGCCATCCATACACAGATAGAGGTATGAAAGGCTTTGAATATGAAATTACACAAATTAATATAAAATATACTAGGTACTAAATACTACATTTAAAAATATAATTTAATCAAATTTAAGGTGACTACTTCAATATTAACCATATAAAATATACACTATGTAATAGTGTTAAGTAAGATACCCTACCAACAATTAATAAACATTATTAAACTAAAATAAACAATCTGTTAACTTTAATTTTATTATATTATTTGACATTTTCAACAGTACCTATGTGAACAATAAAAATGTGCAAAATACGCTGGTTTTGATGTTTTTCGATCGTATTGGGATCTAAAATTAAGATCGCAGCGCCGTCTGTACTTAACATTTAAACTAATTGTTATGGCTTGTTATTGTTTACATTTTTGAGTTTGTAAACAAACAACCCATAAAAAGTATTTAGTTTATATTGTGCTATTTTGAGGAAAATACGAGGGAAAACAAATTGTTGTTATTAATTTTTAGTGATTAGATACTTTAATTTCAATAGTTTTTAGGTTAAAGTAGAATATATATTTTTATTTGGTAAGTAACCCCCTATTAATTTTGTTTTTAAATTACATTCATTCATTTATGTTAATTTAAGATATATTTGTGTTATCTTTTAATAAAATATTAATATATTTATTTTATTTTTAGTGAGATGTCTGGGCTTATCTTTTAATAAAATATTAATATATTTATTTTATTTTTAGTGAGATGTCTGAAATAAGGCTAAGTTTAATAGAACTTATAAAGTATATTGATGCAGGTGAAAATTCCAGGACTGTTATTAAAGAAGTTGCTATTTCAAATGCGGGCCACATAGTTTTTATGTGGAAAGAATGAATGTAGTGATAAACACGTGTTTGCAGTTGTTCTCCAAACTAGTGCATTGAATTCAGGCCCCCATATTGTTGTAGGCCAGTGCAAGATGTTTAAAATTAGTGAATGGCAGTGTTTGTTTTAAGCTGGGAACAGTGGACAGTGCAAACATATTTTAGGAGTCTTAATAAAGTGTTCTAGGTGTATACTGTTTCAAATAATAAAAGAACTATCAAGCTAATTCGATCGAATACCTTTTGATTTTGTTCTACACCCACATGTATATTATTTATTTTACGCACTGATTAAAGAACGAAAAAGTAGGCCATTGAACGAATATATTTATCCATTCTATGAACACTGTACAGATATGAAATCCACCAATATTTGGTCACCAGGATACCATTATTTTTTTAAATTTTAAATGAGTAACAATTCTGTCAAACTAATTTTCAGCATAGTTTTTAGTTGAGATTAAATATAAATTACAAATGATTATTGTGAAGAATCGATAAATAATGGCACTACACAAGATATTCTTTTATATTTTCAAATAAATCTAAAATCAGTTTATGATTATTACAAAAACTATGTGTCCTTGGTACGGAAGCAGAATATTTATGGCTTCACTTTTATGTTTGCATAAACTATTTGATAATCAAATTATTATTTCAATGTTCCATAATTTTATTTAACAAGATGTTTTAAAACATATAGAATAATTATTCTTTTAAAATCATCTATTAACACAAGTAGGTACTATTTTGTTTGTTTGTTAGTTTTGATGTAAAATTTACTTAGTCATAATTTTAATTTGTAGTTTGTATTAGTTTTTAGTCTTAATACTTTTATAATATATTATTTAATCCATGTTACTTATTATCTTACAAACAATTGTATGACACTTCGCAAGTGTTCTTATTCTTACCTTTTTAACACACTGATGTTTGTAATGTTTGGATATTGTGTGAATAATTATGATATTAATAACATAAGTAATTCATGTGATCTCTTCTTTAATACAATAAATGAAAATGTACAGCTTGAAATTTATGATTGATTTTGTACTTGAGAGAATACTCTTTTTAATAATTATTTTTATTCTCAAGTTTACTAGTCATCGTGTACAGTTACATTTTCTAATGAGTGATTGTACATTGATAATGTATTTTTGTACATTTTTTATATTATTCTGTAATGGAATAGTTCGACACATGCAACGAAGACTATAGTAACTCATTATTTCCAGTTTTAAGAAAATCTAAGATAATATAGTATTCAAAGTATTTTATGGCCTAAAATGATTTACTATATTTTATGGTAGTATTTCTGGTTGCTTAACCTCTTCGTTTAGATATACGATACTTATTTAGATCAAAGCTTTTGGCAAATATATGTGCTGGATAAAGGTAACTAAAAACTCTCAAAAATGAGTCTTTGTTGCATGGGTCGAGTTGATTCTGTTGGTAAAAAGGATATTATTATAAGCAATAAATATAAATATCAAATATTTTTTTTTATTTTTCCTGTTAACAAAATATGCCAATGTTTACATAATAATAAATGTTCTTTATTGAGTTACAATACCCAATAGGCCATCTTCCGAAGTACTTCAGCTGATTTGACTGTATTTTCTAGTACAGTATGTTAAAGTTGTTAATACCAGTGAATGAACACAACTCGTTGTCAGATTTTAAAAGATCTGAAATTGTTTTAATTTTTGGGGTATGCGCACTTGTACACTAATGGCAATATACTTGAAAAAGAGTATTTGCAACCTCTGTCTTGTTTGGCGTGAGTAGCTAGGTTATCTTGAAACAAATCACTCTCAACTATGACTTTGTTTAATCTCACATTTAACACTCATTGAACTTTTTTTAGTTTGGACACAAAATCTTTATTTTGTGGTTTGGATCTTCTTTTTGTTCTCTCAATATTTGATTTTGAAGTTTATTGAACAGAATCGTCAAATATTTACTTAAAAACTGGCAGGAAGACACAGCGATTTTTTTTATATTTATTTTCACTTTGGATGAGGCATCTACAACACAAAAAAGGTAAAATAAAAACATTCAATCGAAAAATAAATCTATATTACCTCTAGGCAAATCATCTTCTTTAAAATGCTTCTCAATTTTTAATTTTTGTAACCATGCATTTCTTGCAGAATTTCCACTTGCAATTTATAAAAATTACCCTACATTTACCAACTTTAGGAAGCAAATGAAATGTAAAAGAAGGTCCATTTTTTTTAGGGCTGCATCCAGGCACCCAACAAGTGTGTTTTTCACTGATATTCCACTTATAGTTAAAATAAAATAATATTTTAATATAAATGATATAAATTTAAAGCATTAGCTTATTATTAAATAAGATATTTCAAACAAAATACTTGTTAAATTTTAAAATATTAAAATGACCTGATAAAGAATAAACAAAACTTGACAGAACACAGACGGTCAAGTATCAAATGGCATAACTTTTAGTTCACAGTAGAGGGCGTATCGCTTATCTTCAGATCCCAATAGTTGGCAAAACAAAGGGAATCGTATGAAAACACATTTAACGGCAACCCAGGGGCGGACCTAATTAGTTGTATGTTATGCTTCAAAGCGGAAATGTTTTATGTATTTAAATATTACATTATTTGCAAAAATTTTTTTCTTGGATTATTTAATAAAAATCACTAAATTTAGTTTTAAAGGGAACGAAATAAATACTCACGATTTGTATTAAAAATCGCCATGAAACTATAAAATTTCATCTACTATTTTATTTACTTGAAGTATTTAATTATTGGATTGAATATTAAAAATCCATGAAGGATGCTACGAAAAATGCTTGAACAACTTTTATTAGAAATAATTTAAATTCCTGTGGAATGTTTTAGTTTGGCTTTGATTTTTAAAGTGATTGAAGCATGCAAGCCTTTTCAACAAGTCAAGGTTACATTCCTAGAAAAGGAAAATAGGAACAATCACATGTTTCTCTTCAAAATAACATGAACCAACAGATACGTGGTATCATCAGAACTATCATCTTCACTTGACGTGTCATTCAGGTTTATATGCAAGATTGAGCGGGAAATATGTGATGGTTATTTACAGAGAACGCAATTGGAACATAGTTCTTGATATATACCTCCAACAACTTCTCTGATAACATCTAAAACGGTTTCAGACAACACAGTATTAATTTTTTCTTACCTCCTTTTTGATATTACTCCAAATTAATTTCATGGCATTTAATATACAATAATACGGTGGTAAATGTAATACGGTATGAACGAATGCCATATCCATCTAATCTACAACATAGCTAGGTATAAGATTTAAGCCATTCATTATTACAAGAAAATCTTTTTTTAAACTGTAGGTGGATATGATGCACCCATTTTGTCCAAAAACGCGGAAACTGCATCTTTTTAAGCTTTCGCTTTTGGAATTTCACTAGTTTGACAAGAGTAGTAAGGGGCATTATCCATTACTATAACAGCATTGGGTGACAAATTAGGAATTAATTAATCACCAAACCATTTTTTGAACAAGGTAGATATCATAATATAGGTGATAATTAATCTGCTGAACAACTCAAAATATAATTTGCTGACATAAAACCGTTTTCATTACCGGAATATAATATGATAATACGTTTTCCTCTATTTGGAGGAGCATTCACAGAACATTTAGCAGATTCATCACTTCATCCTTTTTTCACAATATCTGGAGAA